CTCCGCAGACAGCATGTTCCACAGCCCGTCCGTTCCGAATATTAAACATCTGAAACATTTATGACCACCTTTAACATAACAATACTTATCTATTTAATCAAAAATTGATGTTCACATTATGATGACATCCCAAAATTGTTTTAATTTTTGTGATAATACATTTAAGTAGCTGTTTCCTGTGATTTGTGGTGGGTAGCCAGTTTCAGTGAGACCACACGGTGCACATAGTGGTTACAAGATATACAGATGCTCACCTGAACTTGGCGGGGTCTATGGTCAACACGCCCACATCCGGATCTGGACTGACAATGAACTCATCATTTTGGGGGTTGTAGCTCCAGAGGTCGCCCAGGGACCTCGCCACTGCTAGGAATGGTATCTCGTCCATTGGAGTATTCTTCTTGATAGGTCCCTTGTGTCCGAGGCGCGGTCTGTTCCACACGACGCGCGGCACGCCCGCCTTCGTGATCACCTTGCCCCCGCATCTCTGAATCCTCTCTATTTCCGCGCTCGATTCCGGTTTATGATCTGACGTGAGCGGTTTCGCCGCCCACTCTTCACAACCTACAAAGCGTCAGGTTCATGACTAGTTTATTCTCATTCTGTGTGGCGGTACATAATCACAAATTAATAGCATAATAATCATGCATTCATTTTAATTTTAAACATTATGAATTTCACCTCAGATAACAAGTATAATTATGAGTGTGAAGGTACAGTGATAGAGAATGTGTAGAGATGGATGGAGTGCACAAAAAAACATACAGACGAATTGAGTACCATCTTCTTTTGGGAAGTCGGTCAAAAAATATAATCAAGAAGGTAGTACAACTGAAATAAATAAATAGGTATATAGTATGAAAATGTAGAAACAAAAATGGAAAGGGGAGATGATGAATTACAATTCAAGAATAATATTGTTAGTGTCCACTGTGGTAATATAACAAGTGTGATGGTATATAAACAAAAGTAACAGTGGAAACCCACATTTAGCAGTATGTATATTGACAACAGTGAAACATTTATAATTAAATGTGTTTAGTTGAAACTTATTGAGAGGAAAAAAATTGCTGTTCCCTTCGATGAAATTCTAATTGTAGGTATTGCAAATTATTTTGAAAGTGTAACTTGAACAAAATGTTATTTTCTATGTGTAGGCATTTTTGCACATATTTATACTGAAAACTGAAATTTTGGGAATCAGGCTCTAGAAGAAACAAGTTAGTAAATGTAACAACATATCAGTATAAAATTCCCAAATACTTCATATCTTATAGTTATTATTATTAAGTGAAAGACTAAATAACTTGCACTTTGTTCATTACAAGTTTCTGCTGCCAACGCACTGCAACAATGAGCATACTGACCCTCCTTTTGATATCCCAGCACTATGGCAGAGTCACCCACATGCCCTATGTATATCTTGCCGCGTCGGATGAATGCCACACTGGCTGTGGTGCCCGCTGTGCTCGGCAGACCTGTCACAGTTTTGGGCCATTTTTCTGAAAACCAATTTTACACAATTCAGACATCTTTATTATTTGATATGTAAACATAATCTAAAACCATACATTTGTTAATATTACAATCTGAATTACTAAAAAGAACTGAATTAATAAAAGATATTTAAATTATACAACATAAAAACTGGTTAAACTGCTTTCACTTTGCAAAATGTGTGGGAATCACAAATATTGAGCAATTATACCATTAGATGAGATGGTTGCTTCAAATACTGTCCAAAGTTTCAATCACAAAAATAATTCAAATCGCTTTTGTTGACTCAATGTCAAAGCACTCAGAAAAAACGTAGTGAGCACACAACAAGGTCACGCAAAAGTCTTTGCACAATCTGCGAGCGCAGACATTCTCCTCAACAAGCCGATGCTCCCAAACATGCTCGCAAAATCAAAACTGATAAAGAGCTCTTAATATAAGAGTTACCTAGTTCTTTCCACATGTTCAAGTGGGTCAACATGTAACCATTGCGAATGGCTTTGAGGACGTCCTCATCGTTATCCGACCAGAATTGCCGTTGTTTCACTATAGAATCCATTAAATGTTCCTTAGCAAAGGCTGCAGCTTCGCTCCCTCCATGGCCATCATATATCCCGAAGAAAGCGTACTCCAAGTCCCTTTCGTCTTCCGTTTGTTGATAGGCAACGGAAAACAAATCTTCCATATACTTTCTCCCGCCTTGACTGCAGTGTCCAGTCACACGTAAATTAACACCAATTGACGGTGGCATTTTGTAAACGGTAACACAATAACTTAAACGCAAAATATTATGATTTTGTTATAAAATATACTTTTCCACATTTTGCATTTGCAATTACTCTGGTCGCGAGTTGAAAGAGAACTGAAAAAGACAGGTCACGTGGACATATTGATTGCTACGCGTGTTCTCTTTCCCATGGCTGTTGTAATGTGTCAGAAAGAGACAACTATATATCAGACATTTCGTTACGAGCTGAAAAGTAACAGACGCCATTATGGATTCCGCCATTTTACATGCGATAGACGACGTAATGTGTACTTATCTATAGACGCCTGTTTATTTAGTCGGAGGTGTTTCAAAATATTAATAAATGCATAAAACTATAGTCACAAAAAATGGTAAAACTTAGGGCACTATTATTATTAAAAGCTAAAAGAGTACCTCCATCAAAAATGTATGCAGTATTTATTGTCATTGGTATGGTCTATGGAACCCCAATAATTTAATTAGGCCTAGTACACACGACTTTTCTATTATTCAAAATCATTGAAATACCATTAATTTCTTAGCTACCTCTAAACCTTAAACGCTCAATGTATTCCTCGTTACTTTATGTGCTAGACAGCTTTCTTATTCAGAATACAACAAGCAATGTGCCTGCACAGTGATAGTTACTGATATCTGATGAGTTATTTATTATATTAGCTTATTAAGTTTGGTATATTCAAGTAGATTTTCTTAAGTGTTATTAATACAAGAAACAGTTTTTTAACTACATACAATTTATTGCACAACTAACAAGTACAGATATGGCTTTATGACTTTTTATTCCTCGATAACTTCCCATGGTTTTTCTGGTCTGTGCATATCCCAAGGGTTAGGTTTCTTGTAAACATCTGGTTCCTCCAGTTTAACTCCACCACGAACAACTTCATTCAAAAACTTTTCAACTTTTCCTCCTTTTGTAGGTTTTATATCACAATACATTTCTGTGATGCCCGATTCCAGACATCTTTGAGCAAAAACTCTGCCCAGATTATAGTATGCAGATGTGTCTGTGATGCTGTAGAGTTGTTTCCTTAAGGCCCATTCAGAGGTCCTCGCCTCAACAACGGGCCCATTTACATAATGAAAAACTTGTGCTGTAACTGTCCTGTTGCTCCTTGTCAATGCTAACCTGAAAGTTACACTTTCACATTTTACTTGCTATAGAATTATGTTACAAGCAGAAACTCAATTATTGTAAGAAAAGCAAATGGCTTTCTTCTTATTGTTCGGACATTTTACTTATTCTTATAACTTACATTGACTCTACCTATTAATGGTTATAATAACGGCTACGATAAATTAAGTACTTTAGTAAGGTATATTATCTAACAACACTTAATAACATATACTAATAATCAAAATGTTTAATCGATAATTTTTACATAAGCTGCGCGAAATTTGTCTAAATGTATCAACATTTACCTCAATACATAAGAGCTAAAAATTAAATAAATTAACAACATACTTGTGCCAATATTTGCGTCCAGGTTTTTCTAAGTGGTAACCATCTGGTTTACGGGCTATCCGGAGTTTTTCCAGATTCCTCGGATTTCTGTTTACAAATTCTGGAAACGATGATGTAAATCTAACCAGCTGACTTAAAATAGTGTGGTTCTTTGATGAAAACATTTTATTTTCATTTAAATTACTAAGGCAAGTAGAATAATATAATAAAAACACTTGTACCAACAAAAATTATTTTAAGGTTATGTTATTGTAAGTTTTTTAAGCTATCTATTTCACTCCATGACTATTAGTGTTGCCAATGAAATTTTTTATCCGGCCGTGTACATCGTGTATGTAAAAGCAGTGTAGGTATGTATGGGAAAGGATAATCGGTGGATTTGATTTTGATGGCCCGAAGGCCGTAGAACTAGAACACACCCACACCACACAATTGCCGCAGGACTGGCAACACTGATGACTACAAATATCATTTTAATATGTAACTTCAACGAATTCGATCACATTCGATTGTGGAATCGATTTTCGATTTCACGTTTACTTTGGTGTTGTGTTGTCTATGATTTAGCTGTTATCATCTGTCTCACTGCTCTGCTATTCATTCGCAAATTCAATGTTTTACGTTTTATAGTTTGTTGTGGTTTGTTGCTTTCAATCGTTGCAAAAGCTTAGTGTTATTTTCTTGTTAGTAAAGTGAGCGTCGATAATGGATATGTAGACCGGCATGTGTTCAATTATTAATTTACTATCCATGACTGTTGACTTACGAAATTGCATTGGGGTGTTGTGATTCGTGGACGGGCGTGAACATCCGGAATAATTATAAGATTTATAATTAATTTTGCTGCCCACACAGTCCTGTGGCGAAGCCTCCGTGCGTGATGGTAGAAAGAAGATAGTGGTGGAGATTTGGGATTCGTTTTAGATAATGTCGTTACAGAAGAGTGTAAAGAGTGCGGGCGACCGCGGTGAGCAGGCAGACAACGCATCGATATGCTCCTCAGTGACCACACAGCCAGATAGACATGGATTTTTTGGAGGTGCTCAGTACAGTCCAGAACCGTAAGTATCATATCTGAAACCTATGAAGGCTGTGTGCAAAGTGCAAGTTACAGTATTAGGCCAGTGCCTCTATGTTTCATATGTATACACCTTATACTGAGAACCACATTTTGACAAACTTCTTAAGTTTTAATAGTTAAATTATGAAAACTCAATAGTGTAGTAAATGAGGCTGAACTATTCTGTAAAAATTGGTTCTATGGACTTAAATTGTCCATATTCCATTTTCCTTAATTCATGTTATTTTGCATTTATATAAAGCAATACATGAATGTCTGTTAGTTTTCTGTTTTAATAATTTTCGTGACCAAATGTGTTGTTTCTGTAGAGCATTAAATTTGTGTTTTTCCCGAGTTTTAGTTACCTATGTAGTGATTTTTGGTGTTTGGTGCATGTGTGTATCAGGTGGGGGGTGTTTAGGAGGTTGGAACTTGGTGAAGGTATGCTCCATGTGGCGGGTATACTGTGGACATTAACAAATTGTTTCAACATAGTGAGTCCATTAACTTTCAAGTATTGCAATAATTGCTTGTGTCAGATTTTTGCTTCATAGTGTTACTGTTGAAAATTTTACTAATGATGTATTTTTTAGTGTTGTATAAAATCTGCAGTTGTTTTAGTGAGTTTAAGGTATAAATAATGTTCTATGTAACTTGATGAGTTGTGCCATTGATGTGGCTAAATTTTGTATTGTTATTCTGTTTGTTCAGGTGTACAGTAGTCTCATTCGCTTGCACTGTTACTTTGTGTAGAGAGTGATTAAAAAGCATGTCATATATCTTTATGATTGTATTTTTTAACAGTTATTGAAAAAGGGACTTGCGTGATTTTTATCTTATCTTACTTCTTACTAATATTGTAAATGCGAAAGTTTAGATGGATGGATGTTTGTTAGCATTTGAAGCCAAAACGGCTGAACGGATCTCCATGAAATTTGGCACAGATATAGAGCATAGTCTGGAAGAACATATAGGCTACTTTTTATCCTGGGAATAGTTACGGTTCCCGTGGGATTCATTAATTTAGTTTTATAATGTTTACTTGATCATTCTGCAACGGTTCAACATACCTTATTGAAATTTGGCACAGATATAAAACAAAGTCTGGAGTACACATGGGATAAGGTTCATCCCCGAGAAATGTCCGGTTCCCGAGGGTCACGTAGCTTTTTGTTACTTATATACCTCGTATGTTTACTAAAGGCACGCGGACGAAGTCGCGGGCAACAGCTAGTTTACAATAAAAATTCTAAACTATGTATGTATATCGGAATGTAATGTGCAATTAGTTAATTGTTGGAATATATATGGAACAAGCAATCATCACATTTGTGGAACGGGTCACATGTTCGCTATATCTCTGGTCAGTCGATGCTAAAACTTGTTTTGTGGTTTATAGGAGACATCAATTAAATGGAGTTTATTATTAAATTTTCATCCACGCCTCACAGTGGCCATATCACCGCAGTTATATTGTAGCGTAGCGCGTGCGACGTCAGCTGTTGTCTGCAAAAAGTTGAGTGGTGTCAGGTGAAATTGTATTGCGTATGATGCGGCGCCGTGCCGCGCCGGTGGCACAATGGTCGCCCCGCGCCCCGCACCCCGCACACGCTGCAACACCCGATTGTAATAATCGCTTGTTATAAAAACGGTGCGAACTCAGGGGCCGAGGCGTTTCGCAAATGCATTGTACGCAAGCTCAAACCGACGCGCGGGCTAATGTTAAAAACTTGTACGTTAGTTCATTAATGCATACTTACATAACAGTATTCAAAAACTGTCAAAAACCTGCAAAAGTCTCGTGCAAACCATTGTAATCTAGTAACATAAGATAGATATAATAATGTGAATTGAGATAAGGGCAGCTATCGCTGT